GACCACCATGCATTCTTCTGCGCAAATAGCTGAGTAGAGTGGATCTGTGAGCAGTGTAAGGACTCAGCAAGGTATGCGTTGGCGACGCGGAAATCGGAGGCCAGAGGCAAACCGATCAGTGAGCGTCTCAAGTGCCCAAAACCGTCGGAACCACCCAGAGGAACCTTGAGCACTTACACTCAGGCCGCTTCAAGTCAAGAAAAGAGTAAACATCAGGGAGGGAGCTCTTGGAAAACAGTTTTGTCGAAGACTTGGAAGACAGCAGCGGTATCCACACCGTTACGAAAGCCGCTACCTGTGGTCACCTCCAAGGTACGTCAGGGTGTAAACCGGCCTAAGCCACACCTCGGGTCCAAACGTGGAGCGGGCAGAAATATAGTCTCACATGGGAAGAGAGATAGTTTAGAAAAAGAGCTCCAGGAGCTGAAGAAGCAAGTGAGTACACTCCTTGCAGGAAGTATCCCCAAAGTGGAAACTCGTGGAAACCTCCTTATACTTAACAATGAGGAGCCGAATATAAGAGAATCAAAGGCCTGTATGGAAATGGATAGACGTAGAGTCCATGACATACTCAGGTTAGCTGGAGCTCCGTCACAATCGACAATTAGGAAAGTACACCGGGTCGGGAGGTGGAAAACACCACCCCTGGAAGCAAATCAAGCACCAGCTAAACCCATACTGGTGGAGTTTGCCAGACCACTAGATAGGGATATGCTACTATCCCGGGCAGACTTAGTTTGGAGTGGCACTAAAGGGCGTTATAAAATAGTCCCTGATGAACCCTGAGTCAGGGAAATAAATAAAAGACCGTCAACTTACATGACGGGAAGAAAACGATTTGAGGCTGGGCTAATGAAACTGTCCAAGGCAAACCCGAATGTGGTAGTAATTGATAACATCTTGGAGCATCTCACGTTAGTAAACGAGACCCAACTGAAATAAAAATATGCCGCAACCGCCCAGCCAATATTGTCACCGGGACCGGCATACGTTTCCAAGCTCCCCGAGCTAGAGGAAACAGTGGTCGCAGTAGCAGCTGGCACCATAGATGAGCCAAAAAAAGCGGACTGCCTAACCGGTTGTTACGCTGGAGAAAAATCCGAGTGAACAAACACCACTCGTTAGGGGATAGGAAAGCATTGGTACTATTGCAAGCCAAAGCATGCATTATTAGGAATAAGTGGGCAGAGCTGGCCACAGTGGCTGCGGGGACAAATGCTGAGGTGATTGTCTTGTACAAAACGTGGCTAACCCAGGAAGATCACATAGCCGAACCAGTTTTAAGCCAATTCTAAGTCCACAGATAAGAGAGAGAACGGAGTACAGTAGGTGTGTTGGACAGTCTTGTTTGAATTGAT